CTATGCTATAGTATTTACTACACTACACCACACTGTGTGGTACTACACAGTGCTATTTATTACGCTACACCATACTATTATACATTATACAGTACAATATACTATAGACTAAACTATGCTTTATAGTATGGTATATTAATAATAATATTGTACTATATTTTTTATTTACACTGTCGCACAACACTGCACTAAATACTATACTCTACTATGTTATGCTGTACTATACTATACTATGCGATACTATACTATACTATACTATACTATACTATACTATACTATACTATACTATACTATACTAAGCTATGCTATGCTATGCTATGCTATGCTATACTATACTGTGTAGGACTACACTGAAGTACTTATTACACGACACTGTTAGATTACACTATGAGCAATATACTGCCATTACTGTACTAAATGCTCTACTACACTACCCTTCACTACACTATACTATAACATGCTACACTATGCTATACTTTATACGTTACTATGGCATAGCCATATAAGCATATAAATAACGAGATATCCTCTGTTATATAACTGTTGAAGTGCTGTGTGGCAGTATATAAAACAGTCCGAGGTCCCACTAATGTTCACCCACAGTCCCTTCTGCCTCCCGCATGAAATATTCAACCTATCTGGTAAAAGCCTCGGCTGACAACTGGAGAAACAGAGCGAGTGTTAGAGGGAGGGAGAGAGGGAGGTAAAGAGAGAGAGAGAGAGAGAGAGAGAGAGAGAGAGAGAGAGAAAATCTTCACATTCTGCGTCCTTTATGTGTTACTCAAACGCGACTTTATTCTTAGACAGAGACGGACAGAGAGAAATAACAAAGGGGAAGGAAAAACCCAGGGGGTGAGGAGGGAGGAGGAGGGAGGAGGAGGGAGGAAAGCGATGGAGCGGGGTAGAGGAGAGGGTGAATCAGAAGACAAGGGTTTGGAGGAGGGACTCCATCTTGTCTTGACCTTATGAATTAGGGACGACAGCTTGGAGAAAAAGAAAGAAACCTGGGGATAAAAGTCAGAGCTAGTGGAGTGGAAAGCTCAGGGAAGGATAAGTGCTCACACACACAGTCCTGCCACAAACACACACACACACACACAGACACACAAACTGTATAGAAACACACAACAAACTTCCTGGGATTTGACTGTGTGTATGTGTTTGTGTGTTTTCTTTGCAGCCTGGGGTGGGTAATGTGTTGGACATGGGTCTGGAGCGACCGAATAACTTCAGCGTACGAGTCACTGTGGTCAGTAACTTTATTTACTTCCTGTTTTTAGTCCAGCTCTGACAAATTAAATGTAATAACACGTCTGCTTTGCTGCTGTTTTATTGTTTTGCTTCTTTCTTGCTTCTTGGATTGTTTCAAAGTAAGTGAGCTCCACTATACCGTAGACAATTATAGCACATTACAATATTCTTATTATTAAGAGTTAAAAAAGTGCTGTTGTGGTGTGAAAAAATGTAAAGAATACTGGGCAAAATTAGAACCCCCCCCCCCAAAAAAACTACAGATTATACTCTATATATTTACCGGCACTGCATTAATATAATATTAACATCATGTAAACATTTCATGTTTTAAGTATTTAAGGTTACTATCAACACTATATTGTGTTGTGACGTCTCTACATTAAATTTTGACCATTTCAAATCAGCAGCAGTTCACAAAAATGTCCGTCTGTGATGGTAAAACAGTGCTGCCTGTTCATTATCACACCCTCGGTCCAGGATGGAATTATGACTGTATCTGGGATATTCCAGTAAGGCTTCGAGAAAAATAGGAAAATGGGAATGTTTTCACAAGATTAAAGGGACAGTTTGTTCAAAGATCAAGAAGCAGATCTCAGATAAGCAGGTAACTGACAAACAGACAAACAAGTTGCCTTCCGTGGCTGACCAGGATGTGATAATCTGCCACGCATGACTCGGCTCATGAGCCGTAACGATCGGCCGACCGTGACTTTAAATGAGCAAAAGCTATTCCTGGTATCAATTTCGGGGAATTTCGTTATGACAAAAACCGGTATTACAACATTATGCTATGACAGCAAACAGGCTGTTTTACTAAAGGTTATACAGGAAATGGTTCGGGACTTTGATATTTTATGATGTGATAAGATTTTATGATGATTCCATAAAGCGGTATGACGTTAAGTGGGCGGCATTGTATGTACCAGCATTGTGTCCTGTCCCCTTTGTGCTCATTTTTTTAGACTTAAGATTGGTATTCAAGAGCCTGAAAGGATGGCTCAAATAATTTTTGCTTGTTAGTGCTTACTAAAGTAGTTTCAACTGATGCTTTAAAGACTGCTGCTTTTGAAAATCCCCACGTTAAATGAAGCAAAACCAGCCGAATATGACAAATTATTCCAGCTTAGAGAGGGTACAGGACACCAGTGGACAGGATTTGTAGGCATATGTGCAGCATGTATGTGTATATATGTATAAAGTATTGTT